ACATTTTGAAATCCATGGGAACATTGGTCTCTGATGCGTTGCAAGGGCAAACGATCTTACTGTTTGTTTTCCATCTGCTACTTCGCACTATGGGAGTCAAACACATGCACCTAGAAACCCAAGTAAAGCGCACAGGTCTAAGTTTGGCACATGCATAATGTTTTTCATCTTTGAACCCTATGAAGAGAGGAGGAAATCACATCAATCTACACAGCACCCTTGTGAGATACATACAAAATGATTGCTTACCCTGTAGCGTATTTTATCTGAAGATTTTATCTCACAGGGCTCCGAATGCAGCTTTTGCAACTTAGCACAAGACCAGCAAAACTTCCCAAATTCATTAATTAACAAGAAATAGTCACGCTATGGTCACACTAGTCATTTTTTCTGCTGATGTCAACAACAGTCATAAGGTAATCCCTTAAGTTTGTTTTGAAAGTGAATTGTGACAACTGAGTACCTTAAGCTGGAAGTGGAAGTGAAAGGGATCAAAATGGATCTATCTGTGCTATGTTACAACGTACTCCTGTTTGGAACCTCCGGTCCTTCTGATGTTCTGCTTGCCCCAAAATGCCACACTCATGAATTTATTAATTAGCAAAAGTCAAGCTGTCTGACCAATGTCTCGATTAGTGGGTAGCATGCTGCTGTGATGTCAATGATGGCTGAAGCAGTCACTGCTGAATGAATCACCTTGGGACACCTACGAATAACTGTAACAGAGTTAAGGACCACGACCTTCAGGAAAGATACACACAGGTTCTCTGATGAGACTTTTTGCCTGGCAAAAAGAGTAGCTATCAAGCTGTCCTCTACAGTGGGACTATGTCATCATTGCGTTAAGAGGCTCAATATTAGGAGCCTCAAAGAGGGTTCTATGACCACAGGACCCTCTCTAAGGCTCAACAGCTGCTTGGAAGACACAGGATCCACTTGACTACATGAGGCAAAAGTATCTTTGCCAAATGGCTGGCCAACTTCATAAGGAGAGCTCTAAACTAGAAATTATGGGGGAGGGAACAAGGAGGTTTGGGATAGGGTTAGGCAAGCCAAGACCCTGGGATGATGGGAAGAGAATGGACATAGCAATTCACAAAGCAACTGGGCTGAAGTGTAACTCGTTTGAGCATAGGCATGTAAAGAAGGAAATGCCTGCAGAAGAGCCTCACGAGGAAAGCTCTCAAGCTTATATTGCAGAAATGGCACACTTAGATGCCCCTCAGAGGCACCTACTCTAAAGCATACAGCATGGGGAACAAAGAGGAGGAGTTCGAAGACTGTGTGCAGTTACAGGGCTACAATCTCGTTGGGATCATGCTGAAATGGTGGGATAGGTCTCACAACTGCAGTACTGCGATGGAGGAATTTAGGCTCTTTAGGAAGGAGAGCAGAAAGGTGAGGAGGGGTGTTGCCCTTTGTGTGACAGAGTAGCTGGAATGCATGGAGCTCTGCTGGAGCTCTGCCTTGGGACAGGCTAGGAGTCCGTTGAGAGCTTTTGTGTCAAGATTAGTGGGCAGATCAACATACATGCTGCTGTACCGAGTATCTACTATAGATCTCCGGATCAGGAAGAAGTAGTAGATATGCCCTTCTTCATACAACTGGAAGAACCTTCATGTTCACAGACCCTGGTCCTCACAAGGAACTTTAGCCACCCCAATACCTGCAGGTATCTGAACACCACCCCTTCCCCCTTTTTTACTGTGAGAGTGGTTAAACGCTGGAATAGGTTGCTCAGGGAGTCTCCCTCCTTGCAGATATTCAAAATCTGACTGGAGATAGTCCTGGGCAACCTGCGCTAGGTGGTCCTGCTTGAGCATGGGGATTGGACAAGCTGATCTCAAGAGCTGCCTTCCCACCTCAATCATTCTGTGATCTTGTGATGTTTAGCTCCATTTAATTTGATTCCTCATACATTTAAACTACAAATATAAGCCCTCACCAGTGAACATATGCATTGCAGCTTTATTCTTGACACACAGCCCCACTGCAAACCCATTATCTCCAACTGAGTGGTCTCACTGAGATGAAATTAAGCAAAGCGTATTTAGGACTGTGGCCCAGCACAGTCATTTTCCTAACCATGCATTTTACTTCACCTTTGTTTATTCAAAGGAACTCATTTGTATTAAAGGAACTTCCATTTCATGTAGAAGGTCAAAGGATTCACTGATCTGTTATTTCAATGACAAAGCTTCTCCCAAACTGAAGTTATACTGAAAATCTAAGCAATGTAGATGAAAATAATAGTCAGTATAAACCAAACTAGAAATCACATTTTTGTTTTCTCCTTCAAGTTTCCCAGCATGGCAACACTGTCCAACAGATATTCAGTATTTGTTTGTCAATGTCATAAAAATGTTCTGTATCACAGCAAATGCATATAGACGTATACCACTGCAGAATGGTAGAATTTCTATTTATATAGGATGCACAACAGAGGCTCTGTAGACAGAGCAACATTTTAACATACCTTTCAAAATGGGGAGTGTCTATTGTTTACCATCTCTGGTGAATTTTAACATCAAAATCCACTCTTCATTATTCCTGTCCTCCTGGAACATTTCACCCTTCCATTACCTATCCAAAAATTACCCTATACCTGACCCCACAAGTCATTATAAAACTACCTTCAACCGCAGTGTTTAATTGAGAATTTTTGGTAAGAGGGGCCAGGAAAGCACTGACAGCTCACAGGCTGTGATAACAACACTAATGGTAAAACACTTGTGCAGGAAAAGAGGTTTCAGTAGCACAGTTTCTCATTTCCTGCTTTTGTTGGTTGGCAGAAGGCAATACACATGGAGCAATCTTTGGATTATGTCAGAGATGCATACCACTGCACACACAGCTTTGAGAAGGAAAACACTGCAGAGCACTGCATGTGAAGATACCTTTAAGTAACATCAATTTTACAAAAACAGGTTCCGAGTTAACTGCTTGCTGATAGAAATTGCCTGTTTACATGGTATTTCCATACAAAACATGAAAATTCTGTGCTGCAAAACAGGGAGAGAAGGCATGGTGTGAAAAACAAGATATTCTAAGAAGTCATAAAGTGTAATTGATAATAAAGGTGAAAAATGAAGAGATGAAGGAGAAAAAAGCAGCAATTCCAACCCACCTATTACATTTAAGGTTCTAGATTGCAATTTCAACAATAATTTCTCAGTTATGGTAAAATAATGTAACAGATAGCAAATTGTTCAGAATATCATGTTTTCACCTTATTTCTGACCATGAGAACAGCATGCACTTCTGTGTCACACAAAATTCATTATAGGATCAGGGTCTCTGTTTTATAAAGTGACTGAGGTCACAAACTTCTCCCAGCAGTCAACTAAGCTTCTGGGCAAAAGATGATGGAAAAAGTCCAAAAGAGCACAGAGAACTTCACTCTTTCTTAGATGAGAAAATGCTAAGAAATGTACATGCATTAATAATAGAAAAATATTCATAACTTCATTTTATTATTCTTTAATGCATTTCTCAAATCAAAACTATATTCTTCTTCAGGAAGGTTGCTCTACCTACTCCAGATCATCCCCCTTGCACACTGCAGACACACTTCCTGGAAAAATGAAAACTCAAGAAGTGCATGAACAGCCTATTACTGTACAACCTAAAGTATATATTGTCCTTGGGGGAGATCTACAAATGACCTGGTTTGAGAACAAGATTTTCTTTCTCTCACTGTTACCTAGCATGAATACAGAACTTCCTCAGAAAAAAAAAGACTCGTAGCTGGATTATTAAATGGCTTTCCAGGCACTTACCATGGTAAGATTTGCCAAAACCTAATATAATTGCAGCTTCTGAATTTAGACTAAATTTTTCTATTATTTTAGAAACTAGTGTCAGATTTATTTGTTTTGAAGGATGGAAGACAAATTAGAACAACATCCATGGGGTGGCAAATCTCCCTTTCTACTTATCTCTGTAATGACCCATATACTGCATTGGGTTTTGTCTTTCTAATTGTATATTCCTCAGCTCCAGTGTTAGTAGTCAGAATGCACAAACCTATCTGGTCATAAACTTTTATTAGAACTCTGTTGAAATAACAGAATTTCAAATAAATTATGCTAAATAATGAGGAAGTTAAATGATTCTACACTGAGCCACTGACTTCTTGGCAGCTATTTGTTTAAGTGCCTGAAGGAATAATTATATTGCCTCTGAAAGTTTAGTGTAAAACAACCACAACCCAAAGCCCCTAAAATTCTAAAATTTTAAGAAAATAGCAAGAACTACATGCAAACTCCCAGGGAAAGGATGATGAGTAAAACTTCTGACCCATTACCAGAATGCAATAACCATGTTTTAAACATTGTTAAAAGACTTTGAGGACTGGCAATTACAGTAACAATTTTTGGTTTTTTGAGTTCTCCTCCTCTCCCTGCTCAAACATTGTGTTTTGGGTGCCATTTTTCTCTAAAAATTAAGATAATTTTAGGATGTGACAACCAACACTTGACAACAGGGACATACTATGAAACAAAAAAAAAAAAGTGAGCAGGCAAAAAGTTTTTCAGGGGAACCATAAAATGCAATTACCATTGTTCTTACCATTTATAACTCATAGAGCCCAAGTGACCTGTGAGAGCACCTAATGGAAAACGGTACTCACAACAATAAATTAACAATTATGGAATGCAGACAATGCATTCCCAGATTGCTTTTAAGTATGAGAAGTCCTGTCATGAACCCATTTTAGGACTCAATACAAGAAGGATAAACAACAAGGAGTTGTCTGTACACTGACCAATTTCAGTCTCAGGTGAGCGTAAAAGCAGTAGTCATATATTCTAATTAATGATAGTTCAGATATTTCAGTGAAGCACGTTAGACAAAAGCACAAGCAGCCACAGTTTAAAGACTGAGCTTTTCAAGACAGAAATGCTTGCTTTTTACCAGGTTTCTTAGCTAATATTTTCACACTTTTGCAAAGCAATTTTGTAGCAGATAAATACCACCAACTGAAAAATAAATCCTACCTGTGTCCTCTTTTCAGGTGGAAGGGATGGATCCCCATCCTACAAATAAATGGACATATTTTATTGGCAACTCATTTCTGAAGCCAGCAACTATATATTAACTTTGTGGATCAAACTTTAAAACGTATTTTAACTAAAATATTATCAAAATTGTTTCTAAAATACTGCATCTTGATTAATACCGTAATATTAATTTCAACTCAAAAAATTGTCTAAGGTTGAAGATTTGTTTACATTCCTAGAACAGCAAGTCATTACAAATTTATGTTGCATTATTTTTCATAACAGTACATTAAGTTGCTGTGGAATAATAATACTGCAGTCAGTTTTTAAATGGAATTATGACTGAAACTAATTTCCTCATAGCACACACTTTATTCCTGTGTCTTATATAACAGGCACTACCTCATCAATGCGGAACAAATGAGTAATAATATGATCAGGGCTGTACAACTGCAGGACTACTGTAAACAAGTACCTAAACATTTTTACAGCAGTCCTTATGGACTTCTTTCCTGGGTTTTTTTTTTTTTTTTTTTTGAGGTTCACCCTTGCCCCCCAGTTATACAGTATTCGTAAAGAACAACCTACAATCAGCTCCCGATACTTCTTTTTCAGAGACTGGTGTCGTTCCCGTAACTGGTTGGCCATAAGCTTGTATTGGTCTCTTTCTTGTTGACAGGTGTCCAGCTCTTTGGAAAGGATTAGCAATGCCTCCTTTTTACTTTCAAGCTTCCTTTTGCATACCAGATACTGCAGAAGAGGAAAAAAAACATAATTGTAACATCCATTTCTACCTCAGCCAGTACTTGATTCAAAAGGCTCAAGTTTTTCTCTAAAAAGATGGAGGAAGACAGTCTGCAAAAGATCAAAGCCTGACACAAGTCATCTTAGCTTGCTAAGAACAACGACAGGAAAAAAAAATCTGTTTTATCAGAAGCCTGAAATCCATTTCTAAGTCCACATGCTCACCCGATCACTGTGAGTTAGGAAAATTCACCAATTCAAGTTTCTCCTCTTTTTCCTCATGTGCAATAGTATGACAAACCTCACAATTTGACCCACAGCCCTGGGAAGGCTGCTAGAGGAAGAAGCCTTTGCAAACTCCCTTTTCTACTTGTGTCCACAATACCCTGTCAGTTAGCAACCAGCATTTCCCACCTCATTAGCCCTTCCCTCCTCCTCCTCCCCACTACCAGCAATGTCCTCTGGGCTCAGCCTTCCACCTGGGCAGTGAAACAGTACCATGTTACAGCAGAAGAGGTAGCACAAGTGGCAACCAAAATTTACCTTGAGTCTGAAATAATTACAGTGTGTACTCTATTGGCACAGGTAAAAAGCTATTTCAGCTGTGATACTATATGCACATGGTTGTTGAATTAAAAGAAAGGGAAATAATGCAGGAATATTGCAAACACCTGAATGGAGAGGGAAGGATAGGTGAGCCTTCCCCTCCAGCAACCACCTATCATGCACAAAGCAAAGCAGAACTTGTAAATCTTAGCTGTTCTGCACCAGTCTGATCTGCTTCGTTGCCCTTCCCCACTGGGAGGAAAAGACAGTAATGTGTACGTCATCCCTTCCTGCAGTGGCTGAACGTTACCTATCAGAAGTTTCAGGCAACTTTTTTCACTTAACATGATGTTCAATCAGCAGATTCTTCTTACCCGTTACTTGACACTACTCATGCTAAAGCGTATATTTCTATTTCTGATGTTACTCACATAAGACATGGCACTAAATACTTTCTGAATGTGCTCTGCAAGAGACCAAATATCACAGCAGTCATGAAAACAATTTATAGTTTCATTATATACTCTGACAAGAATACTTTGTCATTATGGGCTCTTGCACAAAGCAAGAGCATCAGCACTTCCATACTGTTCAAGTCAGTGCTGTTCTTTGGGACACTCGTATGTACTGCTTGCTTGGAACTGACTTTGTTAACCTCAATTTCAAGTCAATGAGAAAGGGAAAAGAGAGTTCGGCATATTAGTACAGCCAACGTTTTCCAAAAATGGTAAATGCTTAGTTGCAAAAAAGCAGGAAGGGAATGAGAAAAGCAATTCCAAGAAGGATCTGAACTCTCAAAAAGGACACTTCCACCTTGGATTAATTTTATTTCTGGCAATACTGAAGTTGAAATCCTGCCATAAATTTTCTGGATTATGATGCCTTGGCATCAACAAAGGCAACTGTACCTATGTACTTATGTCCTTACTGATATCTTACACAAATGTCAAGTCCCCCGATAAAGCACTGAAAGGTATCAGAAGCTAAACTTTAATATTGTCAGCAAGTGATTACAGTGACACAAACTGCTTCAAACTTGATAAAATAATTCCTTCCCTTACAGTGAAAGATTTGCCTCAGACAATCTCTCTTCTTTTTTTTCTAGTTTCATCTCATGTCTTAGTCAATTCTAAAATATACCTTCACTAAATTGTTTTTAAATACTAACAATCTGATACAGTAATTGCAAATAAAAAAGAGTAAAAGCAAACCTCACAATCACTTTAAAAAAAAAAAAACAAAAACACAACAGCCCAAACGCCTGAACAAGTAGCCTGTCCTGCTCCTTTAACCACCAGGAAGAACGAAGCTGGCCTGTCCAGCCAATGCCTACGTGGAGCAGAACAGCCTACACAACACAACGTACACAGTGGGAGGGGATAAAAGATAAACATCTCACCTTAGGACACCCACACCACCAGCAGGTGCCTCCGAGCTTTGCTGTGAGTGCTGGTATATGAAACAGTGTACAAGAGAGTTGGAAGCTAACTGGAGCATGTGGATAAGCCTATAAAAATAATACTTATCAGGCAGGAAAGGCAGACCTAGTGCTAAACAAATCTTGCCTCTGCCATGAGTCACAGCGTTCCACAAAGGACACGCTCAAAGCATAAAAGAAGGCTTTACCTTTCACAGCAGCACTGGCAGGGGCAAGGGAATTGTCCATTATCTCTGAGGTCGAGGATAATGAACCATAAACAGATTGTGGGGACAGTTGTGTTCAGGGTCTAAATGAAAAGGAATAATGATCTCCTCCTTGTTTAAAGTATATTTTAACTTGATGAAGTATATACTGATGATGTGGCATACAGAAAGAAGTGGCTTGGCATCTCTGTTGTTGTACTGTTTGCATTTTGCTATAAAAATGACCACCTAGAAGACTTTTTGAAGCCATTTTTGCCTTTTGCATATATTGACTTTCCCAAATAAATGGGATAAAAATAGTAATAATGTATAGTAATTTGCTTCCATGGGCTTATGGTACGAGAAACAATAAAGCCAGAGCATTTCTGTGGAATTTGATTATTCGACAGAGCTGTTTCCAATTCCCATTACCATTTTTGAAGGAAAAACAAATTATACAAAGACAGACCTCAAAGAGGTTATCCAATATATATGTTTCTGAACGTTAAAATAAAGTCCTAATAATGGCCATAAACTGACCTAACAACTGTACACCAGAAATGGATTCTACTCAGGGAAACAACTGAGTCCCACCAACAATTTCCCACGTATGGACAAATAAGTGCAGCAAATTGGTATGCTGTCAAAAAGAACACAGGAGTTTAACAGTCTTTGGAGCAATGCAAGCGATAAGGAAAAATTTCTCATAAAGTCTGAGAAAAAGCATTCAATAGATACTTCTGGCATTCATATAGAGATTTCTTCCTCTGTAATCAAAGGAAAAAGACTACGTCTCACATTCTGTCTATTAGTGAGACAAACAAGTGAATTCTGTTATGCACTACTGTTACTATGAAATATTCTTATTATCTTTTGTTTCTTTTTAATTGATGTTCCAAAAGAATCTGAGTTTAAAAAACAAAGTTAACCAAGAACCAGCTGCTACACTTTCAATCTAAAAGCTACAACGTACAACTTTTCATATCTGTCTAGTGACTTTTATCTACCAATTCGCTGTTATCTGCAATAAAGCAAATTATAATTGCTACAAGGAAGATCATAATAATTAAAGGAATATATATGACATCCTACATTACTGCCTGAACTGCTTTACAGCCAGATAACTACTTTAGTGAAATTGAGTAAAAAGAGACTGACATTACAGGAGAGTGTAACTGCTCCAAGGTGACCCTCTACATCAAACACTTAGTATTTGTCCATTGCTATTTTTAGTGACAAATCTGGATAGATCTCATTAACAACGCTGTAGACATGGTCTAATAATCTGATGAAGCTGGGACAGTGTCAAGGTTTTAGACTTTCCTTTTTTAAACCAACAAACATACCAAATTCCTATCACAAAATAATTTATTTAAAATTGGTACAAATTACTCACTTATACTTGGGTATTTTATGGCAATTAGTGCCAAGAAGGAAAATACCTAATTTTTTGAGGGTAAAAGTAGAGATATCTCCAAACTGTGCTTTGGAGTCACTGTGGATCATATTCTGTGTTCTCTCAACACTCCAGGACCTTGTGTCCTCCCAAATGCCAACGGGCCACCACATTGTATGCGGCGCTGGAAACCCTATCGTCCACCATGCTCTCAGAGAAACCATGAATCCTACTCACCATCTTTTGGACAAGAGATCCAACTGCTATTGAACTGCCTGAATTTTTGTCCAATATCTCCTCACTGTACTCTTGGAAGCAATTTTGTTGTGCCAATGACAAACTGAAGAGTCCCTAAATGCATTGTCCTTGGTTTTATCCCACAACTCCGCTTTTCCTGCTGCCCAGTGCTTGCTTCCCTAGCTACACCCTGACTGCTGAAACACACACCAGGCTGGCATCGTTTACTGATGATACAAGTGATACAAGCAGCTCTCCAGAACACCACGTCTTGTCTTGATGACAATATTACACCACATCATCTTCACTGGTCACTTTCGAAATACCATCATCTGATTTGATTAGTCAAAATAACCCTATTTTGCAATGTGGCCCAGCCCTTAAAAGTTTTGTACACTGTGCACGGGATTACATCATTAATTTCTCTGTGTTTGCTCCTCAACATCCATGTGGGTATCTTAGTCTAACCTGGAACATGGGAACATGAGAAGCAAACACTTGGTTTGTTGCCTGAAAGCCCAGCATGCAGGTCTCCACAGCACCTCTCCTGTAGCTCCCGAGAACTTTGGAGAGCAGTAAGTCACAGTGCCAGCTCTTTTAGTGTTTCCACTTCCTTTTCCAAATAACAAAGCAATTACAATGCCAACCCAATCACCTAGGAACCTCAGAGCATCCGCTCCCCTTTGTTCTTCCCTACAGCCACTGGCATTTGCCCACATTTAGAAAAGCCCTGAAATTAGTGGCTCCAAAGCTTGTTGTGTCCCCTCATATAGGTTTGGCGAATTACATTTCACACTCTGTTAGAAAAGGCAACATGACAGAAAGTTAGAGAGATATTATAAACATGGAAATCTCACTTATTTTCCTTCCTCTTCTCTCTTGTCCACATTAAAAAAATTGTGCAACCAATGGGAAAGATATGCTCTGCCAATTACAAGCAGGTTAGGTTTCTCACTCTTATTCAGAATTAATGTCTGGAACATTTAGCTATTTGAACTAGAACTACTGCTCAATAGTCACGCATTCGATAAATAACTGCCCAAAAGTTTCTCCAAGTTTCAGGTTGGCAATTACTAAGCAAGGGAGCTCAAGAGCACAAGGATATCACTTCCCTCTGTGTTGCTGAAGACCATGCATAGTTAATAATCAAGAAATAGCCTCTTGAGAATGACAAATTAAATGGAGACTAAATTTCTTCAAACTAATTTTAGGAGGTACAGTCACATATGAGTAGCTGTAAATAGCACAGAGTAAATGCTCTAATGTGTGGGAGGTGACAAGGAAAAGAGAAGCATTTTGACATTGGATTTAATAAGTTGGCAAATCCGAGGGAGAAGCTAGCAGAAAGGACAGGACAACCACTCTAGTCATATGGGTTTCCTAGGAAACCTTTCTTGCTTCCATTGGAAAACACCGCCAAAAGTACACGTTCTCCAAGCAGTATTAAATTAGGACTGGTGCCAACACTCAGTGAAGTGAATGGAAGCACACTCGCTGACTTCAGCAGAAAGGAGACCGAACTCGTAGAAGTCAGCTCGCAAAAGCAAGGACAGAGGTGGTCTTGCAGATTATGTAAAAGTGTCTTTTCCCCACCATACATAATGTCCCAGTACTGTTCAACTCATCCCACCCCTCCAAGATCATGCTACCACCCACTACTTTCTCCATTACTGATTCTGTCATCATCCTTCAATCAAATGACTCCAAGACAGATTACATGGGATTCACACAAAAACTGAAATCACACCCTTCTCCACAGCAGAACATACAGAGTTGGAAGTTTCTACAACCTTTCAAAAAGAAGCCCCCAACTACCCTCGAATAAAGTTCATATATTGTGTTTTTCATTCATATTCATGGGATTTAGTTATGTTTCATCTCCCTTACGGAGACAGGAAAACTGAGCCACTAAGGACTTGACTCATAAGTTTGTGTAAGTCAACAGCTTGGCGTATCTGTATCAGCGGTCAGGCTGAGAAGTAAGTATGAACATTTAAAAACACTTAAAAGCAAGCAAACAAAACTCTGCAACCAAGATTTTGGTGACCAAAATTATTTTCAAGAATTGCTTTCTAGCAGTGCGCTCAGCAAAGCAACTAATTACTGTCACACTTTCCTCTTTTCATCCTCTTCCAGGTGGGAGAGGTATTTTGTTTGCACCATGGATTTTTTTTTTTTTTTTTTAATAAGAGACATTCCAAGGCTTGTTCAAAGGAATGGGCTATACTCTTGGGATAGTATTTTGAGATTTATGAAGATCACTTGTTTCTGGAAGACTTAGGCCACCATCTCAGTCCAGCCAGCAAGAAATTTCTTCCTATGGCTTAGTTTCATTTGTGTCACACAAGCAGTTGTTGATGAGGTCTACATCCTACAGCTTTACACAGGCTTATTAGTATACTAAACACAGGTCATTCCATGAGGAAAATGTTGGGGAAAAAAAAAAGATTCCAAGCAAAAATTACGTGGTAACCCAACAGAGTACTTTACCTTTTATATCTACACCATCAATACCTGACCTCAGCTAAAGATTGGGCAAAATGTATGTGGATTCTCACTCCTGAAGCTTCTGCTTTTGTATTGTTGGTGAGATTATCAGTGGAAATAATAACTCTTTCTGCTCCTTCAGTATTTGCTAAGTTGGCTTTGTCCCAGTATTCCTTCCTACGTCATCCTATTTAGAGTTAGTCTAAAGAATGTCCAAGGTACATGTGGTGCAAACATTGCTCAGAGCACCAGGTGCACACTAGGCCTGAAATGCATATAGCTGTAGAATAAGTGGAAAAATACATGAACACGGAGGCAAAAGAACAAGCAAGAAGTTAGTGATAAGCATAATAAAAGCAGAAAAAGATGCATGAAAGAGTACAGAAGAAAAGGCACTGAAATGGAACAAAAGCCAAAAGGGAAAAAAAAAAGAGTAAATAAAGACTGGAACACCCTTAAAAAACCGAGCATTCTTTTTGTCTAATGAAGAATGAAAAGCCAAGCTACAAAAATATACAGCTGTGTGTACAAGCAGTTGTGTATGTATATATAAGGACCAAAAATACATCTTACCCTTTTTCTTAACACTTGCAATATTAGACTTTTTAAAATATTACAGTTGCTTTGATGGGTATTTCAGTTACTCCTGTCTTTCAAATTTGGAGGACTGATTGTGGAAATGAAAAAGCATGTGACCATGGATCCGAACCCATCAGCTTCTGGTCTTTTATACCAACATTGTGAACCCCATTCTACATTTTAACTGTCCAGCATCAGCAATGTGAGAGTGTTTGTTTAGTGCTACAATGTCTTTTCTTGCCTGTCTTGTCTTATATTTTGAAAGCACTTAAAACTGTTTACAAAATAAATAGGAAACAAAACTTAAATTACTTAGCGCTGAAGGTAAGAGGCCTGGAGAAGCTCTGTACCACTAAAGGATACAGTAAACTGGAAAAACTTACTACAAGTTACTTCAGAAGTTAGAGCCACTTTCACACAGACCCATTAGGATGTTGGAGTTAATGGGTAAATCGCATGAAGTTAGTCACAATAGCCAAAGGAAGATGAAGGCAAAAGAGGGAAGCCTATACCCTGACAGCATGCACTACAGACTTCATGCAGAAAAACAAGCTGTAAGCCTGCTGTGGAAACAGAGAGAAAGGAAGAAAAATGGAATATAAATCACTAGGTTCTAATTGTTCCTGAAAAAAAAAAAAAACCCAAGAAATTATATGTATGCTTAAGTATTTGCAAGAATGTAGCTTAGCACAGTCATTAAACTTGGCTACAATCAAGAAGTCCCTAAACCAAAAGTAAGTGTTCAATTTCCAGACTGATTTTCTAGGTTAAATCATATCAAAGGTAAAAGAGTTCCAAAATAATTCTAAATGACTTTTTAAAGACAAAAATAGGGACATTTCCTTTGAACACACCTCGTGAGTTGTCTCTTTCTCTTACCCTTCCCTGCCATGTGACGCCACCCCCACTCCCAAATAAAACTCCATTTGGGAAATAAGAGGTCAGATGCAACATTGCACCATTAGGACACTACCGAAAGCACACTTTTCACTTTCTTCTGGATTAGTTTGTGTGTTTGCAAGCACTGTGTGCGTAGGTAGACTCCAATTCTGGACATACTGTACTAGCACAGACCTGGGCCCACACAACCTCCCACCGAAATCACTGGGAGAAGTGAAAGGTTCAGAACCCCAGACTCGTGCATCTTTTTGAGAGGTCAGGGCCTTAGGCCACACTCACATAATATAACAGAGGCAAAGCCCTCCTGAAATCAGAGGAATTCACCAGTGTGAACTGTACTCTAGGACAGTAGACTCGGTCAGGTTGATCTACGCTCGTGCCATTTGCACAGAAATTGTGTTTGCTAGTTGTAAACATAAAAATACTATTCTTACACTTATGCAAAATTAATGCCACGCGAAATGCAATGTAAAAATCAGCACACCAACCTACTTCAAACTTCATGGTTTTGCCTATAAACAGACTTGATTTTGATGATATTCCTTTAACACAGACTGACCTCAAGTTGCTCTGAGTTTGGTAACTTATCCTACATGAAAATATGTACCGGTAAACACTGTCGATCTTTTTAACGTGGACATAGCAGGTAATGAATTTTTCTACCCTTGTATTTTGAAAATTCTCCCTCTACCTGTTGAAGCCGACTGTCCCCCTCCCTGTTCACAGACCTCTCCCCCGCTGTAGGTAGGACACCGTGGGTTTGAAAACCCTCTCGTGTGTGATTCCAGTAAGGTAAGAACACAAACCGTATGCCACAGGAGGGGACCCGACGGGGCAGGCCCGGTCCGGCCCCCGCGGCAGCCGGGCCGGCTGCTGCCGCCC